AAAAAATACAATAAATTGGGGAAGGGGGCGAAGGTGGGGTAACAATGACTCAGGGAGAAAACAAGGCCATTAAAGTTGAAGGAGAAAAGTCCATATGAAACACTGCTAATATAAAACAGTGCGCATCAAAGTCCTCCCTCCGAAGACTATATCTGAACTTACATAAATATCATATTAATGCCTGTTCCGCCATTGCTCTCCCTTGCACTGGTTTGATCTTTGCCGCAGCTGTAACTCTGCCTAATGGGAGCACTAATGAGACGAGTTGGCACTTTATAAACACTGGTCCAAGCAGAGCAGGTGGAGTCAGGGTCAGGCAGGGCCATAGTGCGCCCTCCCTTCCCTTTCATAGATCACACACTATTTTGACAAATCAGCATCTTTCAAACGCAAAAGTTAAGTCCTGCTTTGAGCGATGGCCTCGCGCTGAACAAATGTGCCATTAATCTGCAAGGCGGCAGTGAGGGATACTACTCAGGCTTTTACTGAAAACAGGTCACTTCAGAATGGGACACACACGTGCTTCCGTATTGGGTTTTATCACGTCTTTGTGCGTGAGATTTAAATAGGGGCTCTGTGTATGTCAAAGGCTCATTTTAAATAGGTTTCCAATAAAAGTGAACAGTGATCGTGCTATGCAAAACACAGAAGGCTTCCTCCACTCAAAGTCTGGAAGTTATTCAATTCAAAGAGGTGAACCATTTCCTATAGGGCTTTTTCCTCCATCTCTTTTGCAATAATTTAACCACATGAGGCTTAATCAACTTGAATAATGTTCTATTCAAAAACTCTAAAATAGTCTTTTGTGTGGTTTAAAATATGCCACTTTAGGCATTTAAATCTACAAGGCTATTTTCTATGAATGTTACAACCTTTTACAGATACTTAATACCATCTTTTTAAGTTTTTGGGAAAATACCCCATGTATATTCTTGCATGTTGGCTCGGAATGTGTACACCTGGAAATATTTAAAAACCCATTTCCTATTTTACCCATGCAGCAAACAGCACTTTAATCTATCCACTCTTATAGTAGCACCTTTTTATTACCGTGACTATGCGCTATTGAGTGTTGAGACAAGCAGGTATGCCGGTGGTACAGAACAGCTCTGGCCCGTATACAGTAGTGTGGGCGCTTCAAAGCTGCACAGCGAAACTCCAAAAGTCCATGAAACATATGGGAACTTAAACCCTTTTTCAACAAAAGTAATAATCGCAGGAGTGTAGCATTGCTTTAATAAAACATTTCAGGTTTTGATATAACTATTATTGCCTGCGAAGCCCTCTTTGATGTTAATTGGAACCATTGGGCAGCAATCTGCTTTATAGCACTGACAAATAACAGTTTCCTTAGGGCTAAGCATTATGGGTTAGCGAGCAGAAAGGGGCACACATGTCTGACATGCCCATATGATAGAAATAAAAATGATGAGTGGAGTTTGTCTGCTTAAAGGCACGGTTCGATGTTTGTGGTGCCACCAATATTAAAAACACGCTGATTTTGTGGTCTTGGCTTGAGTTGGTTGTAATGTCAATAAAACTTAGTCTATGTTCAATGCTGGACATTTTAATGATTACATTTGTAATTTTATGGGACAATTCATGGAATTAGAAGAAAAAAAAATTGGGTGCACAACTAAACAGTGGCCTTCTTGTGAGAGATACCTGTATGTTATTGCTCTGCTTGAAACACCAAACATGGCTTTAACATTCACTGCACATTCCTGTTTTTAGGGCTTGAGAAAAACGTTTTACAGTGAGAAGACTCACCTCTCCACTTATACAACTTGTGCTGCATGCTTGTTTCCATTGTAAAAGGAAAAATTAATGACAATCTGTAAAAATATTTGGGGAAAACAACAATGAATCCAAGACGAGCAGGACTGCTACATGCTTTTTCCACCTCTGGATAAGAGCAATGACAATCCATATTGTAGTCATCTGTAAAATTGGTCAGTTGTGTAGTAGTATCCACAGCTTTGACTGATAACACTACATTAAATCAGATACATTGTCCAAACACTGTTCACAAAGAGTACTGTCTGATGTGTTTTGGAGTTTTTAGTCTGTTCAATAGTTTGGTGCGTGGAGAGGAAATGATTGCAAGGCTGCTGGCTCTGGCTTTAATACAACCACAATAAAATAGCCTGTGTCCTCTTATACTCTTCTGGCAATGTGTCCCCTTCACATTCTATTCTTCTCCAGGCTTTTTTCATGGCTCACTGTATCACAGAGAGAGGCCTTGTCTTGTGGGTCATCCAAGGTTGATGCTATGCAAAATATTAAGAGAAAACATGCGGCTAGGCTAAGCATAAACACACTCACGTAAGCAGCAGAATCAGTGGCTACATTACAGAAACTAAAGAGTTGTTTCTTGAATGATAGTGGAAGTGCGACCTCTCCTTATTATGAACCACAGCAGGTTAGAGATGAGAGGTATAGCTTCAGCGTCTGAAGTACTGGACACATGACAGGCATGGCAAGGATATGTAATTGGCTTCTCTCCATATAAATACAGACCTATTTGATTGTTCACAGATCTTTAGAAGTGACTATCAAACCTGAAGCATCCAAGAAACACTCGCAGTACAACATGGTTTCTATCATGGTGATTGACACTAAAGACATGTGTTTACTAAAGAACGGCTTTTGAATTCAGTTTAATGTCTTTAGCACAAAAAGCACAGTGAATGAATGGATATTTTCTATATACAAATTTAAGATTTTCTCACACATACTTTTGAATAATCTCTATTAATCTAAATAGTGAAAACATAAAAGAAAATGTACATGACCTACATGGATCCACAAATATGTACATTCAATATAATGAATGATACATAAATATGAATGAAACCTTGATTAGAGTAAATGTTGATTGAAATGTTCACCAGTTAAGATTCAGGAAGCAAGCAATGTGTTTTCAATTCAATTGAATTCTCTTTATTTACAAAACCTTTATATAAGTCCATACTCTTACTATTTCCTATGATTTGTAAGTGCTTTGTAAAAGGGAACTCCCTGGAAGCTGCATTAGCTCAAAAGTGGGGTCCTCAAACTGGAAGTTTACAAAGGTTTAAATACTATAATACTTAATACTTTAATACTTATTTGTCACTGACTTAGGGCAGGTTTTCTTTTGGCTCAATGCCATGATGCTGCGAGATAATTAGTTTGAGTTTTTTTACAAAGAGAAAAAAAACATCTTTTCACGCAGTGTTTTTAACTTTTGGTTTATATATCAACACTCACCATGCACATACATAATTATAATACAAACAAATGCAGTTTTTACACCCATAGCTAATTACTATTTATTATACACATAAAAAGGCAAAAGATAATTATTCCAGTAACTAGAAAAGGGAGGAACTTCAAACATATGTGTACACAAAAATAAGGCCTACATGTTAGATTAAGTGCATTTTTTTCATCATGAGCCGAGGGCCACCTATAGGGCCTTTAAACAACCATGTAGGACAAGTTGGGAAAATCTGGCTGCCATAAAAGATCTAATACGTTATGTTCTCTTTGAGCGAACAGCAGATCTGAGAAACTCAACAAGTGAACGCTTTGTTCTTTCAAAAGAAATGATCGACAGCAGAAATATGTGGATGGAAGTTTGGCACAAACAGAACAGAGTAATGATGGGACATGGTGATGGATGTTCCGTAAAGGCACATTTTGACATCATAAGATAAAACAAAGAAATTATTTACAACACTATAAGACTTTCCTCTATGCTTGTATCTTTAAAAGGTGCTATACGCTTCCATATGGTTGTGAGAAAATGGGCATATGGATTTAGTTTTCAGACATTGATCCCAAGGATATATTTCAAGCATATTTCCACCCTGAAAGGATAGGACAGGGTAAAGGAAATGTATGTTATAAATAGGAATCAAAAGGAACCCCATCTGTTTATTAGTAAAAGATGCTGAGACATCTTTGAAAGCGGAGGAGAGCTTTTGAGCATTTTACAAGACAGGTAAAGGGAAATGTGTGTTAAAACACTGTGCCCGGCCAGCTTGCTTGGGTCAGCTCTTCCATCAAAGAAAAGCCATTACAAAGGGAACTAATGACGACACTGATCAAAGAGTAGTAACATATAACAGGTGTTTTGGAAGAGAGAAATCTGTTTTTACACTGTAGCCTCATTCCTGTAGCTCCATGCATGGACATCTTTCCTGCAGAACATTTCTCCCCAAAACAATACAACAATAGATGCATCTAAGTCAACAACATTCATAACATGTTAGCAGTATTTGTGCCGACATAAGCTACTTTCATGATCAGGAGCCAATTCAAGGGGGCTGAAACTGGAGAAGCCCACACAGACCGAATAACACCTGGATTTAAGATGCATGCAGAGTTGAAAGAGAGTTGGCAGAACTTGAACTGGAGTGTGTTAAAGTATTTGTACTTTTAAACATCAAAGAAATGCCACTGCTTTTGATTTAGAAAAGGGGCAAAGTATTAGGATATCAATGTTGAACATATGTTTCTCAAAGAACACGTGTCTCTTTGATAATACCGAGAGTCTAACACATATATTGATAAAAATAACGTATCATATGCATATTTAAAGTTTAACTAGACGCTAAGCCTGAAACAATGCCGCATGCACGGACTCAGAATCCAACACTGAATTCCCTATTATGTTTAGGCTGACTGATGAGCGTGGGGAGAGGAGACTGCACGTCAACAGGAGCTCGCGCACAGCCTGTCGCTTGCAGACTTCCGCTTCTCGCCTCTGACCAGTGTGGGAGTTGTAGTCCGTGTAGTTCTTTCTCTGCTTGTTAGTCTTCCATTCGATCATATTTTGTTTTCTATTATCCACCAATAGACGCGTGCAGAGATATTAAGCAAAATAAAAGAGTAAAGTGCAAAGTTGTGAGTACATTCGGTGAAAAAGTTGGTGGTATATATTAGCCTCCGCACTACATCCCCCAGCATCCCCACCAGTGAACGCAAGGCGATGTAAACACAACTCCAGGAACATGAAAAGATCGGGTGACAGTGAGGGGGAGAAGAGAAGAAAGGTATTGATAGCGTTTTTCTCCGTTAGCTCTGGTTTATTTCGAAGCCCTTGTTGCTCAATGAATATGTTATGCTCCAAATGTGACGCTGCTGGCTGCGTCCGGAAGACTGCGAAAAGCGCATGTCAGCGCATACTGTACTTCGCCTCGCCTATTTCCTTTATTGTTTTTCATCTCTCCCTATCACAATGCAAAATAATATGAGTATTGTCATTGGTGTAGTTAAAACAGCGCCTAGGATTCCGCTCACAGGGCATTAGATTGTTCTTATTCTGAATGCTACTATACAAACATATATATATATATAAATAAATAGTATAACAGTTGAAATACTTTACATTCTGAGAATTTAGTGGTTTAATAACATTACAAACTATGAAAAACTATATACTGTGTAGTTATACTTAGACTTGGCCAGGTGTCCTGAGTCCAGAAGGCGCATGTAGCGCGGTCATAACAGACAGGTGAAGTCTGCTGAGGACACACGCAACTCACTGCATCAATTCTGTGTCAAGCTATTCTTCAAAGACAGTGGCCTTAATACGACTGTAAAAGATTTGTATAGCCTACTTATTAGGCTATACAAAGTATACCAATTCTAATATTATTTGAAATGTATATCCAATGAAATTAATTGTATTCTATTTCTTATACCACAACAATTTTTTAGAATATTTTCAGGATTAGTTATTTATCTACTGTGAATGCACAAAAGATCAGTACCAGTTTTTATTAAATTAGATTTTTTAAAAATGTATTATTATTTTTACTGCATACAATGCGTATAGATACTGCAATTAAAGCAATAGAAAACATAACAGAGAATATGGGATGGGACAAAGCAACTTTAATCTTTTGCTTTTCATCGCAAGGCCATTGCAGTATAAATATAGCCTACAGATATCTGGTTTCATAACCTTTTAAAGATGATGTTTTCCCTCTGCGATGACCCAGGCTTAATATAAATTTGATATGCTAAACATCAGAGAGTTTGAGGGCGGTAAGGAAAAGAAAGGGTAGGATTGCTCTTAAGTCAATGGCGTCCTGAGCTGCCTTCCCCTTGTCATATATTGGTCGATCTGTCTGCCTTTTCATATCTCCTGGCTTGGATGCTCTCTGCTGTGGCACATATGTTTGGATCATGTTAGACAGCACTGAAACTATGTAGGACGTGGTTCCCCCTGTTTATGAAAGCAGTCATGGCGGCCAGATGAGCGGCTCAGAGACAGAACTCATTCCAGCTGGCCCTCAGGCTCCTAGGCAGAGCAGCAGACACCTAATGGGTTAGCTTCCTTTTGCTTTAGTTCAATAATAAGATGAGCACAGATTTGCAATCGAAAAAACGCTGGCATTCAGTTGAATATAGGTGAAAAGAAAACTCATAAAATGAATTTGGATGACTTACTGGACAGCAAATATAGTATAGGTGGATATGGGGATTATAGCTACAAATGGAAATAGAACGAGAATGCATTATGCTGCTCAACTATATTTAACTTGTATCATGTTTAACAAATTCTTGAATGTCCACCTAAGCTTTGGCAGAGTGAAAACGACTCTGACCATGTCCCCTAATCCCAAGTTTAGTGTCGCCTTTGATGCCGAACTGCCATTTGTGCAGCGATGACAAGTATGAAGAGCTGTGTCCAAACAGGAAGTGAGTGAGTGTGTGTGAGTGGCAGCGTAAGTAATGATCACACAGGGTCACCAGATGTTGTGAGGTCTCAAGCTCAGCCCAGCCCATTGCTTAGATCAGCCTCATTGGTTTGCTCTGGTTGTGGCACAATGTGCAAGCTGTTTAGGGCAGCCATTCCCAAACTCAGTAACACCGAGGCCCCCTTAAAAATCTGACGGGTCTGCGTGGCCCCCCAAAATAATAACCAAGAAGACAACATTAAGAATAGGCTCTTCTGGTTATTTTATTTTGGGGAAATAGCCTCTGCTACAAACATTGTAATACAAAAATGATTACAGTGGATTATTCAAGTCAAATAATGAACACAAATATTTTAAAATTACAAACAAAACATTATAAATTTAACATTAAATAATTATATTATTTTTTTTATGACCTCCCGCGGCCCCCCTGCAGTACCCTCGCGGCCCACCAGGGGGCCGCGGACCCCACTTTGGGAGACACTGGTTTAGGGTATTTAATTTCTGAGCACTCATTAAGATGGTTTGTGTTTCCCCTGGCATTTCTGTTAAATTAACAACTAGCAGAGTAAAAGCTGATTATGTGGCCACACATCCAGTCATGGTTAATAAATTCTTCCCCACAAAATTGTACCTAGTGAATTAGTGTAAAGGAAACGATGTATGGCAATTAATTCTGACATCCGGTCATGTCTGGCACACTGTTTTTGTAAGGGGGTCTCACATTTAGCGCACTAAGCATTTTTACACTTTGCTGGCCATCTCTTTCTCTCTTTTAACCAAAGCTACATGCTGCTTGCTCTTTTATTGAGTCAATAATGGAGAAATAGTGTTGGGTACTGACACAAAACAAGGTTATCGATACCAAAGTCAGGGTATCACATAAGCACAGGCAGAGCTAGAATTACACCTCACCTCTGAGTAGATTGGCAAAAGGAACTCTCGGCATGGGGTGCACACAGCTTCATCAGACCCCCGCTGGTAGAGCTGTGGAAAAGCATGAGCTCAGAAAATACGGCTGTGGCAGATAATGATACCATTACACTAATGGAGCTGGCAAATGAAGGAGAACCCAGATGCCCTGCTTTATTACCGGAGGGGGTCATTTCCTCACTGCATTCCTAATGGCTTGAGCACACAGTATTGATCAGGCTATCATGCTGCTAATCCTCTACAGAATTACTTATCGCAGGCTAGGTGTCAATCCCACCACATGCTCTGTTCTGGTCTTGCCGCTGGGCGGCTGCTGGGTGTCCAGCAGGGATCTGCCGAGCCGTTTATCCACTCATGATTTAGGGCCAAGACGGGATGGCGTCTGGGAGGTCTTCATTGGTGGGTTGGCCACTTCCATGTGTAAAATAAGGACGCAAATGAAGCTAACAGCTTTCATTTAATTAAAGAGCAGGCAATAATGTGGTTCTTCCTTTTTTATGGCTGCACTAGCTGTTGTGGGGAACCAGTGAAGTTGGCTGTTGTTCTTTGTAATTGTATTCTATTGTAAAGTAAGATAACCTTGGCCATTAGCTGCTGAAGTGGATGCACAAATCTCTATTGACCTCTTGTGTTTAAAGACCACATGACTAAATATGTGCATATTCTACTACAGTAGTCTCTTCAGTAGGACCTACGTTTTTAGGTTAAAGCTGCACTAACTGACTTTGGGATTTTGAAGCCGCGGACTCGCTGGCCTCGCTCTTTCTGCTCCCCTCCCCGCACCCACGAAGCTATTGCCCCCCACACACACACAGTGTTGAGACGGAGCTAGCCTCTCCCAATATGGATAATACATGTATATGGATTTTCACGTGGATGGCGTGACCATAGAACGATAGAACCGGGAAGCGCGGAGGACAGCCATCCAAAAGAAAGTCTCTTTTGGATGGCTGTCTCGCTGTGTAAGCAGTAACCGGTGACGAAGACGAGGAAGTTTTCAGGTTAGCTCCGCCGCTTGGCTGAGTGGATAGCGCTGAGTGGATAGCACTCTCGCCTCTCAGCAAGAAGGTCCTGGGTTCAAATCCCGGCCGGACCAGGGCCTTTCTGAGTGGAGTTTGCATGTTCTCCCCGTGTCTGCGTAGGTTTCCTCCGGGTACTCCGGTTTCCCCTACCACTAAAAATATGTCCAATAGTTCTGGCATGCGCCTCCTGTACTGGCGAACCCGCTCCCATCTCTGTGTGGAGTGAGAGACAAATGCCCAAAATTAACAATTGTAAACCGCTTTGAGACTCAGATCTGCAGTGAAAAGGCGGTATATAAATAAAAACTTACTTACTTACTTACTTACGCTTGTTGTGCTAACTCAGCTGTCTGTGCTAACGGACCTGTAGATTTCTCACGAAAGTGGGGGCCAGTGGTCCGCTGTGATTGGTCACAATCTGCGACCCGAAACACATTCTCTTCCTTGTTTCATCAAAACTCGATCTAAAATATAATGTCACGCCAGCACAAATCTGCGATACTTATTCTTCAAAAGGACGAATATCCCAATGCACTGCATGGACATGGATAGCATTTTCGTAATGAATACAAAAATAAAGTCAGTTAGTGCAGCTTTAAGCATAGGAAAAAATATGAAAAACTGTATGGGCTGAAAATTGTATGTCATAACACATGTGAGCTGCAGGTCCTTGGGTTCTTTGGGCATTAGTGTCCCCAAGCTATTGCAAATAGCACATGCATCGTGAGACTACTTGAGTCACTGCTGGCTTTCTCTTCACTAATCAAAGAGTTTACCTTCAGGGGACTATTTAACACTGTTTGTTAGCTATAGCTATAAAGATGTAATTATATATATCCATCTGAAACAACCTGTCAGGACAGGTTGTTTCAGATGGATATATATATAGGGAAACCAGCTATTGATCCACATATTTAGTCATTTCCTTTTGCACATGCCATCAATATTGTGCAAACATTGGTCCAAACGGATTGACCTCAGCCCTCTACTATTTTTTGCTCCCATTGGAGTTTAGTGATATACTATTTGGAAAAGTAAAATCAATGAATGCATATGAAGTTTTGGTGAATATTATGGCGCAAGCCCAGAGCCCCGGGTCGTTCATTGATTTGCTATGAAAACTTCAATGGAGGCTGATTAGTTAGCTTGAGCCTTTCTTCAGTTCTTCACTTCATTATGACTGCACAATGCGGTATATTTAATAATGATCAATATTGTGATTTTTGGAAATGTACAAATTCATATTGTGAAAGTTAGTTTACTAAATGTTCAATTGATTGTTGATTGTAGCTTTTTGTGTAGTCCATGCTAGTTTATATAGCTCCGCCCTAAAACATTCTTTTGTTTAATGAATGAATCACTAGAAATCGATAAATTACTATTTATGAGTAT